TGCCCATGATTTTGGAATGAGATGTTCGACATACTTTTGGCAATGTAGTGTAGCTTCTGCTTAGTGCTCCAACTGCTCCGCTGCCGCTCCCCCTCTCCTTGACATGGAGGGGGAAACTTTGTGTTGTACACTAAAGATATGGTGGGCATGTTCGAACTATGCATTCCATGCCTCAAGTGCAATTTCATGTTCTTTTTCAGGAGGGGTGTTAGGCTAACATGCAGCTATCATGTTGTACACAGAAAACATGATCAACATGTTCGTCCAAACTTTGTTGTAACAGTATATTTAGGCAAGTATATCAAACACAAGTAAGACATACAGGCAGTCAAGATAGCAATTATTTTTCTCGTCATTGCAAACATTTGGCTAGTTCTTTTTTCAGCAACTCTCGCTACAATATGGCAGCATAACTATAAAAATGATCACAAATATACTGAACAAAAATTAAAACAACATGTAAAGTGTTGGTCCCATGTTTCATGAGATTAAATAAAATATCCACATTTTTTCATAAGCACGAAAAGCTTATTGCGCTCAAATTTGTTTACATCCCTGTTAGTGAACATTTATCCTTTGCCAAGATAATCCATCCACCTGACAGGTGTGGCATATCAAGAACAATAAAAGGCCACTCTAAATGTGCAGTTGTGGGAGTGTGCAATTGACATGCTGACTGCAGGAATGTCCACCAGAGCTGTTGCCAGAAAATGTAATGTTCATTTCTCTACCATAAGCTGCCTCCAACATTGTTTTAGAGAATTTGGCAGTACGTCCAACCGGCCTCACAACCGCAGATCACGTGTAACCAGCACAGGACCTCCACATCCGGCTTCTTCACCTGCGGGATCGTCTGAGCCCAGCCACCCGGACAGCAGATAAAACTGTGGAGTATTTCTGTCTATAATAAAGCCCTTTTGTGGAGAAAAACTCATTCTTATGGGCTGGGCCTGGCTCCCCAGTGGGTGGGCATATGCCCTCGAGTCATGTGAAATCCATAGATTAGGACCTACGGAAATTATTTCAATTGACTGATTTCCTTATATGAACTTGATAGATTAATTTGTATTTTAAGAATAATGACTAAAGGATTTCACCCCAAATACAGTATAAATGTGTGAGGTGTTAGAGTTATAATGTAGTGTCAACCCACTAACAGAGGGGGGAAGTTAGAAACTGTTGAGAAAGCATTCCAGGGTGAAGGGGACTAAGAAACGGTTTAAAGGTGGGCGGAGCAAAGTGCCTTTGTGTGTCAAGGGATATAAAAGCTGTATGTATGTTTTTTGGCGCCAGAGCTCTCCATGAATAAAAATGCAGATCATTCTTGCTGGTTGCGGACCTTTGTTTAATTCATGATTAATCCAGAGAATTTACACCCTCTGGGAATTATTCAGAGCATTAAGTTTGATTAATTAGAGATAGAAATTCTCGTGACAGAACTGTAACTCAGTAAAATCGTTGAAATTGTTGCGTTTATATTTTTGTTCAGTGTAGCAGGCAGTAGTTGACAAACGATAAGGGCTCCCATTGTCAGGCTCTGGTTACCGGTCCGGATACACATGCTCGGGCTGCCTAGAATCTTAGGCAGACTGGAGGTGGAACCGCTAGGTAGCCTACTCATTCTGTACTTGCATGATCATTGAGAAGTGAAATAGCAGTTAGTAGGGCCTGTGTGTGTTTCAAACGCAGAGAGTTCCTATGCAAAAGTGGGGAGTTATTCTTTTTTCACAAACTCTACTCCTGTACTTCTCCTTTATTCTCTCGCAATAATACTACTACGATATGGCAGTAACTATAAAGATTAGCCTACATCAGGGGTACTCAAGTACTATTTGAGAAGGTCCAGTCACACAAATGTCCTAGGTGGCAACGGTCCGGATGGATAATGTAATTTATCGATGTAGTAACAAACCCCCACCTCACAACCCATGCGACCCCAAACTGTTCACACCCCTCTTGTTGGCGGAGAGAAAATGTTGCAGTTTTAAAGCTAACTTTCCTGCATTCTACACATTATGCACATGGCAAAGATTTTTTTTGCTGTTTTAAAGCAAAACGTCTGCAATTCTACACATTCTTTCATGTCTTGTGTGTGTTTATATGACACCAGGGATCGAAGGCCGACCAATACGGTCCACCAGTTGAGTATGGGGGGGCCTACATCACACAAAACGCTGTTTGTTTAATGAGTCCCGCTTGTGCAACTAAAATATCTGTTACAACCGAGAAAGGTTGTATAGCCTTCAATAAATATTTTGGGGAATGGTCATTCAGTTTTTATTTTATTTCAGCTGTTCAGAAACATGAGGCAGAGATAGGCACCATCATCATGGTTCAGAAGAGGGTAAGTAAAGACAGAACCTAAAGGACGGGGGAGTGTAAGCAGCAGTCATGTAGTGTGCATAAAATAAAGTGCAGAATGTGATCCGGATCCTTAGTGGACGGGGCGGAAAACGTATTCACAGCCAAGGCCCCCAAAAAGAAGGCAAGCCTGCTCCACATGGAGTTGGTAGCTAATTTGAATATTCAAGTGTTTGTGCATCTCATTGGCTGAGCTGGCAAGTCAGCTTTTTTTTACCAGTATACGCCCAAACCACTGTTTCCAATCAGGCCAAGCAAGGCACAGAGAAAAGCTGTTTTTTAACATCCTTAATTAAATTCATTTTAGGTAAAATTATTTAATAGAAATCTGGAACACTGGACAGATACTTTAAAGGCCCAGTGCAGTCAAAAACATGATTTTCCTGTGTTTTATATAATTCCACACTATGATGTTGGAATAATACTGTGAAAAATTATAATACCCTTTTAGTGTAAGAGCGGTTTAAAAAGACTGCCTGAAATGTAAGCCCTTTTAGGTGGGATGGGAGTTTTGTAATACCTGGTGACAACACCAGGCGGTAAATGAGTTACTAGACCAAAAAGAAAGAGTTCTAAACCTCTCTGCCAAGAACAGCTTGTTTTCCACTCCCAGACAGTCCTAGCAAAATTCTTGCTTGAGAAAATGCTCTTTGCTAAGAAGCTATTTTTGTTGCTTTTTGACCATTTTAATTGAAAACAAATCACAGTAAGGTACTTAACTGTTACCCAAAAATGATTTGATATTGAGATAAAAATGGCTGCATTGGACCTTTAAGGAAAGCCCATTTGGCTTTGGGAGTACAGTCATGCACGCACTGAGTGTCATTCACATGACTGAGCAGCCTCCCCAGCTGTTCTTCTTGAATGTGGTGGCCCAGCGCAACCAGCCTAGGTTGTAGTCGCTGTAGGGCGGGTAGCGCAGGACGTTGACCCTCTCCAGCAACCAGCTCCGGTTCATACAGCCCCGCCTGTGGCTGAACGTCTCAAAGCCCCAGCGGCCGTGGTAGCTGCCCATCCCACTGGCACCTGGAGGGTAGATGACAGGGCAACATGATACACGGTGATCAGATCCATGTCTAGTGCTTTTCTTCTGATAATGACTACTTTATTTACGTTGTCAGACACACACTTACCAACTCCTCCAAAGGGCAGGCCTGGCAAGGCCATGTGTACTATACCATCATTGCCGCAGAAACCCCCACTACTGGTATTGTTCAACACTGTGGTCACCACCTGACAGCGAGAGGGGAGGAACATGCATTTATTCCATAAGAGTGAAGGCAGAGGCGGCCATAGAACTACATATACAACTTTAAATTATAGGAGCTCTGTGGAGGAGGCCAACATGACTATAACAATATAAGAAAATAACATATATGTGCTGTAATGAAGGTCCCCTATGTGCTGTAATGAAGGTCCCCTGTGTGCTGTAATGTACCGAGGTCTCGTCAGAGAAGACGTAGAGAGCCAGGGGTTTCTCTTGGCGGTTGATGTAGTCTATGCCCTCCTCCAGAGACTCTATGGTTAGGATGGGCAGGATGGGGCCAAAGATCTCCTCCTGCATCAGAGCATCTGACTCCTGCACGTCCACCAACACTGTGGGAGCTAGAAACACCATAGAAACATCAGACTCCTGCACGTCCACCAACACTGTGGGAGTTAGAAACACCACTTGGTCAGCAAGCATTTGCTTCTATATGCCCGCTTACTCATATTTGAATGTCAAGCCACTTTAACAGCAAGGCTACCACCTAAACCTATTTCAACAATCTTTCAACTTGCATTCACACCCACAAGGTGGCAGCAGTATACAAACCAAACTCAACACTACTGCCTGCATCTCATAGTCCTCTCCTGTATCACCCCAAACTCACCGATATACCTGTCCTCCTCGCGGCTGTCCCCTCCGATCACCACCTTCCCCTTGGACTTCCCCAGCATGTCCACCAGGCGTCTCCAGTGGCGCTGGTTGACGATGCGCCCCATGTCTGGGCTCGCCCCGGGGTCCAGCCCGTAGAAGGTCTGTAGGGTCTCCTGGAGGGCGGGCAGCAGGGCGTCCCGGGTCTGGGCAGTGCAGAGGAGGTAGTCGGGCGCCACGCAGCTCTGGCCAGTGTTGAAGAACTTGGACCAGCACAGGCGCTTGGCGGCCTTCTGGATGTCGATACGGCCATAGATGAAGCAGGGGCTCTTGCCGCCCAGCTCCAGGGTGACCGGGGTCAGGTGAGGCGCCGCCGCTAGCAGGATGGAGCGGGCTACTGCCTGGGAACCTGGGGAGGAGATGGGGGAGGGTGAAGGGAGAGGAGGGGGAAAAGGGGCATACAGCCGACATTTTAAAACATACTAAAAACAGGAATTGAGGTAATACATATTATTGGTCTAGGGAGTCCTCTGTGTGACTTTACCTGTGTAGAAGATGTGGTCAAATTTATTCTTCAGCAATGACTTGGTGTCCTCTGCTCCCCCACATAGTACTGCATAGCAGTCCTACAATAATCAGAGGGCAAAACTCAAACATTAAAAACAAACTGTAAGTGACAGTAGTGATAAATGGGTGGATGGGTATTGAGCAAATATGGCACAGTTGTGCTGCATTGCACTGATGATCCACAACAGGTAACAGAAGCAGGGGAGAACCAAAGCAGTGTGTGCGTTACCTGAGACAGGTATTTGGGGAGGAGTTCTGCCAGGAGTTGCTCGGTGGCCTGACAGATCTCTGACGGCTTCAGAACGGCACAGTTTCCTGGTTCATGACATCATGGAATAAATATAATGTCATCATCACAAAATCAAACCTAATCAATAATGACATGCTAAGAGAATAAGCATTCACTTTACATATACAGTACCAGTCAAAAGTTTGGACACACCTACTCATTCAAGGGGTTCTTTATTTTTACTATTTTCTACATTGTACAATAGTAGTGAAGACATCAAAACTATGAAATAACACATATGGAATCATGTAGTAACCAGAAAAGTGTTAAATCAAAATAAATTTTATATTTGAGATTCTTCAAAGTAGCCACCTTTGCCTTGACGACAGCTTTGCACATTCATGGCAGTCACCTGGAATGCATTTCAATTAACAGGTGTGCCTTCATAAAAGTTAAATTTGTGGAATTTCTTTCCTTCTTAGTGCGTTTGAGCCAATCAGTTGTGTTGTGGCAAGGTAGGGGTGGTATACAGAAGATAGCCCTATTTGGTAAAAGACCAATTCCATATTATGGTAAGAACAGCTCAAATAAGTAAAGAGAAACAACAGTCCATTAATACTTTAAGACATGAAGGTCAGTCAATCTGGAAAACTTCAAGAACTGAGTTCTTCTTTGCTGGTGACACTGATTTATTTAGAATAAGGCATACTTAACCAGCATGGTTACCACAGCACTCTGCAGCAATACGCCATCCCATCTGGTTTGGGCTTAGTGGGACTATCATTTGTTTTTCAACAGGACAATGACCCAACACACCTCCAGGCTGTGTAAGGGCTATTTTACCAAGGAGAATGATGAGTGCTGCATCAGATGACCTGGCCTCCACAATCACCCGACCTCAACACAATTGAGATGGTTTGGGATGAGTTGGACCGCAGAGTGAAGGAAAAGCAGCCAACAAGTGCTCAGCATATGAGGTAACTCCTTCAAGACTGTTGGAAAAGCATTCCAGATTAAGCTGGTTGAGAGAATGCCAAGAGTGTGCAAAGCTGTCAAGGCAAAGGGTGGCTATTTGAAGAATCTAAAATATATTTTGATTTGTTTAACACTTTGGTTACTACATGATTCCATGTGTTATTTCATAGTTTTCATGTCTTCACTATTATTCTACAATGTAGAAAATAGTAAAAAAGAAAAGAAAAATCCTTGAATGAATAGGTGTCCAAATGTATGACTGGTACTGTACATTACTGACAAGGCAACATTGGTGGTGGATATAAAATGCTTTGAGCTACTGTAAAAACGCTATAAATCCAATCCATTATTATTAACAAAGCCTATAGGTATACAAATGATATATGTGTACCTGCAGCAATTGCAGCAACCAAAGGTAAGAGAATAAGATGGAGAGGGTAGTTCCACGCCCCGATGATTAAAACTACCCCCAAGGGTTCCCTGCGTATGAAACAGTCGTCCATCCTAGTGGCCTAAAAGGATGGAGAGGAAAAAGGGTTTTCTTGGACAGTTATTACAGAAGCAGCATGTCAGTAAAAAATATTCCAATTGTGTGTGTTTACATGTTGAGACATAGTAAAAAGTGGTAGAGTCAAACAGTTGACAGTGAACGTTGACGGAATCTATACCAGATTCTTGCCAATGTTGTATTCCGGCTGCATCCAGGTCCTGAGGTTTTCCATGGCGAAGTACAGGTCATTCAGCGTTATCTGAATCTCTGACAGGACTGACTCAAACTTGGGCTATGGGGGGAGAGAGGAGAGAATCAAATCAAATGTTATTTGTCACATACACGTGTTTAGCAGATGTTATAGCGGGTGTAGCGAAATGTTTGTGTTAACCAAAGACTAAACAGGTGAAGGTGAAACAATAGCGGGAGAGAGGGAACAGGACAAAAAGAGAAATAGAGGGGAGAGGTGAAGAAGAAGGGACAGGGAAAGAGGACGAGGGGCGACCAACAGAGGAAATAATGAGAGGTGGAGAGAGGGAGGCAGAGGGGACAGAGTGTATAGTAGTACCTTATGGAGGTCCTTATGGAGAGCATCTTGTATAAGCTGCTCGTTTTCTTCGACCAGGGAGAGAAGGTTCTGGAGGTGGGTCATACGGAACTGCTCTGGAATGGTCACGCCCGACCGGAACGTAGCCCTCAACCGGTCAATCACCTCACTCTGGCTGGCCATCTCTATCCACTCACAGACAGACATGGACACAAAGTGAGTTAGTGTTGAGACACCACACAACCAAAATAACCAGTGATGAGAGAAGAGCATTGCTATTGCACATTCACTTGGCCAATAGTAATAGACTTGTAAATTCCAGACATAAATAAAATTCAATTTTATTGGTCAAATACACATATTTGGCTGCTGCTTTGTGCAATCTTGGCCATTGTCTAACTAAACTTCGGTGTCTTTTAAAAACGCGCACATGAAGTAGCCTTGAGCACAGTTTTATATTTTCAGTCAAGATGCGTTAGTTGCTCATTGAGAACACACGATGAATCCAGGGGTGTATTCATTAAGTATTTTAACGGAAACCTTTTACCAGTTAAGAACGGAACAGGGAGGGACCTAGTGGAATGTGTCCAATATAAATGTTCGTTTTCGTTGCAAAATAGGCGTAATGAATTGGCCTACACATCAGGGCCCGGTTTCATCGTTAGAACCACCCGGCCCAGGTCAGGTGTAGAAAATGCAAAATGGAAAGGTAGGCTAAGAAGGTAAGATTACATTATATGCGCTATAAAGAGGGAAAATTAGGCCTTGCCGCAAGTTATTCACGGTTGATTACTCACAGCTGTGTGAATTATGGGTAATTTGGAAGAGCGCGGCAAAGACTTGCATTTCCTTCCGAAATTGTGAAAGCGTGGGCGGGATGTCACTAGTGTGACAGTCATGGATGATGCAACTTTGTAACGATTTAAACCGGAGACTATCGAATTGTTACACATTAAAACAGTTTGTCGGAAACCCTCTTTGTTAGGCTACTGCACAAACTGCACTCTTTCAGGATGGATCAAGTTGTGAAGTGCTACCTGAATTTTCCCGTAAATGGATGCTGCTGATGAATGAATGAAAAAATAAACGAAGTTAGTCGAAATTTCTGAAGAAATGAAAGTTCAAACTCACCCGTTTCTGCTCAAAAGTAGCCTAAATGGTCGTATGTTGCCCTGTCGAGACACTCTTAGACCTGTCTCTGAACTCAGATAAATCACATTCCAATTTGCCGGTGGCTTTGACTTGGTATGGGAAGCCGATGAAGGTGGAGCATTTCCGGGTGCCAGTGGTTTTCCTACCCACGCGACTGGTTTATCTGGAAACGAGAATAGACTTTTGATAGAACTTGAAAAACAAGCCTGGAAACCTGTCTGAGGGAAAAAGAGAAACATGGGTATCCATAGACTATATGCTCCTCAAATTAAAACCTGGACCTAAAGCCAGTTCTGCTGCTTTTTCCCCCCATTATTCCCCTCTAATCAGGGAATGATTTAGACCTGGGACACCAGGTGGGTGAAATTAATTACCAGGTAGAACAAAAAACATGAAGTAGGCTAATTCAGACCTCATTGGGTAATATTTGAATACCCCTGGTAAATGCCTATAGTGCAGTGAAATGATGCTTGCAACTTTTGCCCATAATAATACTCTGTAGCCTAATCATAGTCTAGTATAAACCCCCAGTCCAAAGATTGACTCTGTAATACCTATTATTAGGTTTAGGCTACTTGCACTGCATGCCTGTTCTATCTCAAGTTCAAAGGAAATACAATTCAGGTTCAAGTGGGCAGACGGTCTTAGTTTCCATAGACTAGCCTACTGAATACAATTCATTGCATACATTTATGTATACAGCATTATCTCGCAAGCAGCATTATTTAATCGTATGAATAGTAGGTGTATACTGAACAAAAATATAAATGCAACAATTTCAAATATTTTACTGAGTTACAGTTCATAGAAGGATATCAGTCAATTGAAATAAATTCAATAGGCCCTAATCTATGGATTTCACATGACAGGGGCGCAGCCATGGGTGGGCCTGGGAGGGCATAGGCTGACCCACTTGGGAGCTAGGCCCAGCCAATCGGAATGAGTTTTTCCCCACAAAAGGGCTTTATTACAGACATAAATACTCCTCAGCAAAGCCCCTCTCCCTCCTCAGATGATCCACAGGCGAAGAAGCTGGATGTGGAGGTCCTGGGCTGGCATGGTTACACATGGTCTGCGGTTGTGAGGCCGGTTGGATGTACTGACAAATTCTCGAAAACGACATTGGTAGAGAAATGAACATTACATTTTCTGGCAACAGCTCTGTTGGACATTTCTGCAGCCAGCATGCCAATTCCACGCTCCCTCAAAACATGAGATCTGTGGCATTGTGTTGTGTTGTGTGACAAAACTGCACATTTTAGAGTGGCTTTTTATTATTCCCGGCACAAGGTGCACCTGTGTAACGATCAGCTTCTTGATATGCCACACCTGTCAGGTGGATGGATTATCTTGGCAAAGGAGAAATGCTCACTAACAGGGATGGAAACAAATTTGTGCACAACATTTTTGAGAAATAATATTTTTTGCATATGGAACATTTCTAGGATCTTTTATTGCAGCTCATGAAACATGGGACCAACACTTTACATGTTGCGTTTATATTTTTCTTTAGTAGTAGATATCTTCAAGTACACACACACACACACACATGCACACACACACACCGGCCCTGCTCTGCTTTTCTCAGTTGTCTGTTTCTCTCACACACCCCACCCCTCTCTCTTCCTCTCTGTGCCCCTCACAGCTGTGTGGCACCACGCTTGGTGAACTCCAGTCTGTCACCTGGGTGTTTCAGGGTCCCAGTTTAGCATCTCTGACGATTAAGATAGACAGACAGTGAAAGAAGTTAAGTAGCCAAGGGACTGTCCCTGTACACATTCATGATCTAATTCTCACTACCTTGTTTCAGCTGAGGAGAGACCGCCTTTTGCATAAGCCAGCTGGTGGCTGGTAACCATACAATGTTTCAACGACATGAACACGATTTGCATTTGGTTTGAATAAATGGTGAGATAGAAAAAAAAAATCAGACAATTTCATCACAATTTCATTTATATTATAGACCTTGTCAACAGTTGTATTAATTATATTATTTAATATTTTCAGACACTCACATACTTTTCAAGAATTGCATTGAACAATGAGTCCTTAACTAAAATAACAAATTGCTCTATGTGGTTTCTCATAGCTGTTCTGGGCACCTCCCCCTAAATTCTTTAGTATGTCCCTGATTATAATTATTTATAGGGGAGAGAGTTTAAGAATGTGTTTTTATAAGGCATCTATCAAAATTAGTTTTGGGCGCAACAGTTCAAAGCTACGCAAGCATGACTTCTACCCCAGGATGCACCTGCACTCAGATCAAGCCATTTCCCTGATATAGTATCTTGATTAACCCTAAAAATTACCAATGTATCATTGTAAAAGTGCAGTAACACATTAAAAAACTACACACAACAGTGATGTATTGCAGATGTGGGAGAAAATGACAAATTATGAGTTGAAAAAGTCATTGAGTGAAGTGTAGCCATCTAAGGGAAGTAGTTTGGTGACAGTTGCCGACCATGTGATGTTGAAACAATGGGAACACATTTCAGGGTACAGTACTTCAGGATTTGAATTGTCTTTTTTTGTTTGTTATTATCTTTTTTTATGTGTTGTTTAAAAATATATATTTGTAAGGTCTTTTCTGACTTTATTCAACAGATAGAGAGGATGACAGTGATGAAAGATAGAGGTTGTGTCAAAAGGCAGTAGGCCAGATTCAAAACTATTCCGAAAACGAATGAGACAACAAACCACAATTTCTTACAGATACCACTTGTATGAATGTGTTTGTTGTGAGAAATATCAACATTTAATATGATTTAATATGAATTATTTCATGGCTCACTGTTGAAAACAACACACAAAAAACAATGACTTTACTGTCTGAACAATATAGAAAATGTTTGCTGATTGACAGTGATCACTGGCTTCATCAATAAGTGCATCGATGACGTCGTCCCCGCAGTGACCATACGTACATACCCCAACCAGAAGCCATGGATTACAGCCACACTGAGCTAAAGGGGAGAGCTGCCGCTTTCAAGGAGCGGGACTCTAACCCGGACACTTATAAGAAATCCCGCTATGCCCTCCGACGAACCATCAAACAGGCAAAGAGTCAATACAGGACTAAGATTGAATCATACTACACCGGCTCTGAAGCTCGTCGGATGTGGCAGGGCTTGAAAACTATTACAGACTACAAAGGGAAGCACAGCCGCGAGCTGCCCAGTGACATAAGCCTACCAGACAAGTTAAACACTTCTATGCTCACTTTGAGGCAAGCAACACTGAAGCATGCATGAGAGCATCAGCTGTTCCGGATGACTATGTGATCACACTCTCCGTAGCCGATGTGAGTAAGACTTTTAAGCAGGTCAACATTTACAAGGCCGCAGGGCCAGACGAATTACCAGGACGTGTACTCCGAGCATGCACTGACCAACTGGCAAGTGTCTTCACTGACTGACATTTTCAACATGTCCCTGACTGAGTCTGTAATACCAACATGTTTCAAGCAGACCACCATAGTCCCTGTGCCCAAGAACACTAAGATGACCTGCCTAAATGACTACCGACCCGTAGCACTCATGTCTGTAGCCATGAAGTGCTTTGAAAGGCTGGTCATGGTTCACATCAACACCATTATCCCAGAAACCCTAGACCCACTCCAATTTGCATACCGCCCCAACAGATCCACAGATGATGCAATCTCTATTGCACTCCACACTGCCCTTTCCCACCTGGACAAGAGGAACACCTACGTGAGAATGCTATTCATTAACTACAGCTCAGCGTTCAACACCATAGTGGCCTCAAAGCTCATCACTAAGCTAAGGACCCTGGGACTAAACACCTCCCTCTGCAACTGGATCCTGGACTTCCTGACGGGCTTCCCCCAGGTGGTAAGGGTAGGTAACAACACATCTGCCATGCTGATCCTCAACACGGGGGACCCTCAGGGGTGCGTGCTCAGTCCCCTCCTGTACTTCCTGTTCACCCATGACTGCATGGCCAGGCACGACTCCAACACCATCATTACGTTTGCCGACGACACAACAGTGGTAGGCCTGATCACCGACAACGATGAGACAGCCTATAGGGAGGAGGTCAGAGACCTGGCACCACAAAGTAGTGGTCGGAGACCTGGAGGGGAGTTGCAGTGAGATTAGTAGAAGAACAGCATCTAGTAAAGATGAGGTCAAGCGTATTGCCTGCCTTGTGAGTAGGGGGGGACGGTGAGAGGCAGAGGTCAAAAGAGGAAAGAAGTGGAAAGAAGGAGGCAGACAATACGCTTGACTTTATCTGTTCAATAAAGTCAGAAAATACATTACAAATGTATTTTTTTTAAACAACACATAAAACAATGAACAATTCACATCCTGAAGTACTGTACCCTGAAATGTGTTCCCGTTGTTTCAATGTCACATGGTCAGCAACTATCGCCAAACCAGTACACGTCCAAACTTCACTCAATGACTTTTACAATTCATAATGTGTCATTTTCTCCCAACATCTGCTGTTGTGTGTAGTTTTTAAATGTGTTACTGCACTTTCACAATGATACATTGGTCCTTTTTAGGGTTAATCAAGATACTGTATCAGGGAAATGCCTTTACCAGAGTGCAGGTGCATCCTGGGGCAGAAGTCATGCTTGGGTAGCTTTGAACAACTGTGCCCAATGCTCATTTTGATAGACACGACTGATAAAAACACATTCTTAAACTCTCTCCCCTATAAACAATTATAATCAAGACATACTCAAGTATTTAGGGGGAGGTGCCCCTAAATTTGGTCAAAATCTGTGACTATCCTATTTGGCTGCTTGTACATTTTACTCCTTAAAAATGACATAAAAGTCACTGTGTTGTTCGACGAGTTTAAAATGAGGCTGAACTTGTTTTTCAATTAAATACTTGTAGGATGTGTCTCTAGTATATATGCTTCCAATCCACTCCAGTGCTTTCCCTGCAGGTTGTCGAATCCAAGATGTGGTTTGTGTTGAAGCTGAACTGGTGGGAGATTATCTTCTCCAGGACTCAGAGGGATGTGTTATGACACACACATAGAGCCTGTTTATACAGTATACGGGGAAGGGAGAGGGAGGGAGGGAGAGAGAGAGGTAAGAGACATTTGCATAATAAAGATAGTCAGGTATAAAAGGACTGAGAATATCAGTGCAAAATGAGGGGAAATGTTCTGTTCATTTGTCCGTTTTTGACACTACACTTATAGGAGATATGGGAGATATGTAGTAACTCCTTAGAATGGTTAATAATTCTCTATGGGACACAAATGACATGGGTGCTCATTATTGGTAATCCTGGCCGTGACCCCACTCTCTGAGGGTGTATCAGGGGGAGTGGGATACGCAAAAATACATATTTACATTTCACACGTGTATAATACTCACCTGTACATGTGTGAAATAGGACAAATGTAAGCACCCACCTAATCATTATTATTATTAATCCTTTACTATATGTACAGTATCTACACTATGTGTGTTTTTTTTAAAAGTATGGCTGAGCTTGTGCTATTAAACTATTCATCTGAAAGAAATTAGGTTGTCTGTGCTAAATGGGGAAGTGATTTTGTACTGCTCTCCCACCACTCTCTCTCACTGTGTGTACCGGGAACAGTAATACACTGCTGTGTCCTCACTCTTCAGGCTGTTCATATGTAGGTACAGCTTACTGCTGGAGTCGTCTCTGGAGAGGGTGAATCTACCCTGAAATGACTGGGAGTAGTAAGTAGTAGCACCACTAATATGACCAATCCACTCAAACTCTTTCCCTTTAGCTTGTCTAATCCAGCCCATATAATAGCTACTGAAAGTGAACCCAGAGCCTGTACAGGTCTGTTTGTGGGATTCACCAGGCTTTTTAAGCACTGGTCCAGACTCAGTCAATGTGTGACCATGAACAACTGTGGAAATAGAAATCAGAGATCATGTTGAAGTTGAAACTAAAACCTGATGTCAACTTGTTTATTTGATAAACAGCATAATTAAACATGTTAAACAGACTGTCAGTAAGAGTATTCCTGTGGTAGGAAACATGGTGAGCTGTTTAGTTCTCTAAAGGTAGTTGAGACAGTCCTCAGCAGAAACAGCCTTCAACAGAGACATTAATAAAGATGGAGGACTGGAGAGTTTTGCATGAGCTCCTCCTCACTGGGAGGACCAATCACAAAAAGTTATACAGCTGCACCATCGAGAGCATCCTGACTGGTTGCATCCCCGCCTGGTATGACAACTGCTCGGACTCCGACCGCAAGGCACTACAGAGGGTAGTGCGTACGGCCCAGTACACCACTGGGGCCAAGCTTCCTGCCATCCAGGACCTCTATACCAGGCGGTGTCAGAGGAAGGCCCTAAAAATTATCAAAGACTCCAGCCACCCTAGTCATAGACTGTTCTCTCTGCTACCAAACAGCAAGCGGTACCGGCGTGCCAAGTCTAGGTCCAAAAGGCTTCTTAACAGCTTCTACCCCCAAGCCATAAGACTGCTGAACAGCTAATCATGGCTACCCAGATTATTTGCATTGCCCCCCCCCCCCCCCACCCCATCCCCCTCTTTCACGCTGCTGCTACTCTGTTGATTATTTATGCATAGTCACTTTAACTCTACCCACATGTACATATGACCTCAATTACCTCGACTAACCGGTGCCCCTGTACATTGACTCTGTACCGAAACCCCCTGAATATATCCTCCCTACTGTTATCTTATTTTACTGCTGCTCTTTAATTATTTGCAAATTTTTTCTTATCTCTTTTTTTTCTTAAAAACTGCATTGTTGTTTAAGGGCTTGTAAGTAAACATTTCACTATAATGTCTACTCCTGTTGTATTCGGCGCATGTGGCAAATACAGTTTGATTTGATTTGATGTTTGGCTTTGACTTAGAATTGATTGCCTTGAACACCCTTTTATATGCATGTTGCATGCTACCACGCAACCATGGTTGTCTTCCATCCTAAAAAGATGACAGGCAAACTACACCTCCTCCTGGTCTTGCTGGGCCTCTGTAGTATGTACTCAATAATCTAGCAATTTATTGTAACAAAGTATTTTACGAATAGAGATAATTATAATATCCATTCAGTTAACATATTTGTAATCAAATCAAATCAAATGTTATTTGCCACATGCGCCAAATACAACAGGTGTAGACATTACAGTGAAATGCTTACTTACAAGCCCTTAACCAACAAAGCAGTTTTTTTTAAAATAAAAAAGTAAAATAAAAAAGTGTTAAGTAAAAAAAAATAAAAGTCAATAACTAAAGAGCAGCAGTAAAATAAGATAACAGTAGGGAGGCTATATACAGGGGGTTTCGGTACAGAGTCAATGTACAGGGGCACCGGTTAGTCGAGGTAATTGAGGTCATATGTACATGTGGGTAGAGTTAAAGTGACTATGCATAAATAATAAACAGAGCAACAGCAGCGTAAAAGAGGTGGATGGGGTGGGGTGGGGGGGGGGCAGTGCAAATAGTCTGGGTAGCCATGATTAGCTGTTCAGGAGTCTTATGGCTTGAGGGTAGAAACTGTTGAGAAGCCTTTTGGACCTAGACTTGGCGCTCCGGTACCACTTGCCGTGCATTAGCAGAGAGAATAGTCTATGACTAGGGTGGCTGGAGTCTTTGACCATTTTTAGGGCCTTCCTCTGACACCGCCTGGTATAGAGGATCTGGATGGCAGGAAGCTTCGCCCCAGTGATGTACTGGGCCGTACGCACTACCCTCTGTAGTGCCTTGCGGTCAGAGGCCGAGCAGTTGCCATACCAGGCGGTGATGCAACCAGTCAGGATGCTCTCGATGGTGCAGCTATAGAACATTTTGAGGATCTGAGGACCCATGCCAAATCTTTTCAGTCTCATGAGGGGGAATAGGCTTTGTCGTGCCCTCTTCACGGCTGTCTTGGTGTGTATGGACCATGATAGTTTGTTGGTGATGTGGACACCAAGGAACTTGAAGCTCTCAACCTGTTCCACTACAGCCCCGTCGATGAGAATGGGGGCGTGCTCAGTCCTCTTCTTTTTCCTGTAGTCCACAATCATCTCCTTTGTCTTGATCACGTTGAGGGAGAGGTTGTCTTCATTATTTTTTTCTCTATTAGGGGTGTATGGTCAGAGTCTGGAGGCCATTCCCTCCAGTCCTGAAAAAGCCTGTAGAAACTCTCTCCATTAAAAAAAGATCCTGCTTCACATTTAGTAGCTACAGCATTGGCTGGATACGTCAACCTGCAGGAAGCACACTTGAATGGATAGGCATTATATGGACTGATAGTGGAACTGTGAACGCAAAAAGTGTTGAAGGATTTATAGAAGTTATCATAGAGATTTCTAACAGCATGGTGTATCTGAAGCTGTCTGGTCTGAGATCAGAGGACTCTGCTGTGTATTACTGTGCAGGAGAGGCAGTGGTGTGAGTGAGTGGAAGAGCTGTACAAAAACCTAACCTGGTCTCAGAGCGTTTCATATTATTCTGTATGTTTCCGATACACTCCATTTAGTACGATATGTTACATTTCATATGGTATGTATTAATTTGTGGATGTCCATCATTCATTTTATATGATATGTTCCAAATTACAATTCGTATGATATGTTACGAATTTCCCAAACTTACAATATGTTACGAATTTGCTGAACTTATATATTTAAGGTTTATTTTGAATTGTACACATTTGCAGCTAAACGCTGAATTGCAGTATACATAGGCCTACGTAAGTAATTAAATACAAAAATGAGATATACTCTACATGACCAAAAGTACATCTGCTCGTCGAACATCTCATTCCAAAATGATGGGCATTAATATGGAGTTGGTCCCCCCTTTGCAGTTATAACAGCCTCTATTCTTCTGGGAAGGCTTTCCACTAGATGTTGGAACATTGCTGCGGGGACTTGCTTCCATTCAGCCACAAGAGCATTAGTGAGGTCGGGCACTGATGTTGGGCGATTAGGCCTGGCTCGCAGTCGGCGTTCCAATTAATCCCAAAGGTGTTCGATGGGGTTGAGGTCAGTGCTCTGTGCAGGCCAGTCAAGTTCTTCCACACTGATCTCGACAAACCATTTCTGTATGGACCTCGCTTTGTGCACAGTGCATTGTCATGCTGAAACAGGAAAGGGCCTTCCCGAAACTGTTGCCACAAAGTTGGAAGCACAGAATCGTCTAGAATGTCATTGTATGCTGTAGCGTTAAGATTTCCCTTCACTGGAAATAAGGGGCCTAGCTCTTACCGTGAAAAATTACCCCAGACCATTATTCCTCCTCCACCAAACTTTACAGTTGGCACTATGCATTCGGGAGGTAGCGTTCTCCTAGTTTCCGCCAAACCCAGATTTGTCCGTCGGACTGCCAGATGGTGAAGCATTATTCATCACTCCAGAGAACGCATTTCCACTGCTCCAAAGTCCAATGACAGCGAGCTTTACACCACTCCAGCCGACGGTTGGCATTGTGCATGGTGATCTTAGGCTTGTGTGCGGCTGCTCGGCCATGGAAACCCATTTCATGAAGCTGCCGATGAACAGTTATTGTGCTGACGTCGCTTCCAGAGGCAGTTTGGAACTCGGTAGTGAGTGTTGCAACCGAGAACAGACGATTTTTACGCGCTACTAGCTTCGGCACTCGGCGGTCCCATTCTGTGAGCTTGTGTGTTCTACCACTTCGCAGCTGAGCCATTGTTGCTCCTAGATGTTTCCACTTCACAATAACAGCACTTACAGTTGACCGGGGCAGCTCTGGCATGGCAGAAATTACACAAACTGACTTGTTGGAAAGTGGCATCTCATGACGGTGCCACATTGAAAGTCACTGAGCTCTTCAGTAAGGCCATTCTAATGCCAATGTTTGTGATGGAGATTGCATGGCTGTGTGCTCGATTTTCTACACCTGTCAGCAACGGGTGTGGCTGAAATAGCCGAATCCACTAATTTGAAGGTGTGTCCACATACTTATATATATATAGTGTAGTATACAATATTACAGTTAAGCAGCATTAAGCAGTCTCACAAAGGCATTGGGCTGTTGTAGTATCTGTCAGTCTGAGTAGGGGTTCTTGATCTTGCTGCCTTGATCTCTTTCTGGGTTTTGTTCCTCAGAGTGCGCCATGAAGGCCAGTCTTTTTCACTGGAGGCATTCTATCTGCTTTTTATCAGCTCTTTGATTCTAGGTGCAATCCACTCCTTATCCTGTGCGTGAATCCTAACCATGTTTTGGGAAGTAAGCTGTAATGGCGTGATTCAGGGCGTTATAGAAGTTGTCTGTTTTCTCCTGTGTGCTCTCCATATTTGTTACTTCCGGCCATTTATGGAGGGAAAGCCACTGACCACATGCTCTGATGCTTGACTCTTTCATTGGTTGAATAACTTTTTTCCTGGTTGTGTTAGTGACATAATGAGATTTCAGTGTGGTAACAACAATATGATCACTGAGACCCAAAGGTGACATTCCCTGAGCATAGTCCAGACACATCAACATGGTTAAAATCACCCATGATAAGGATCCAAGCATCAACATACTTTGCTCTGATAGTATCAAGGCTGTCCGTTAGATGTTGGATAAGTTCATTTTCTGAATTGGATTGAGGGGGGGAACATACCATCTGTTATAATTGATCCAACTTGCCTTGCTAACCGTTTAGGTCTAAGCCTTAGCCACAAACACTCCAATTCAGGTGGTACCTCTATGAGTGGGAGAGCGTGAGTGCAGAAATGTCCTCTCTTATATAAAGTGCCACACCCACTCCCCTTTTACCTTGTCTTGGTTTGGAGTAGGTGTTGAAACCATAGATTTCCCAGAGTTCAGGTGGTACATCTGAGTCAAACCCTGTCTATGACACAGCAGCAATTTAAGCCCTCTCTGACAGCGGGATTGATTTAAATTCATCCAACTTGTTAGCCATTGACCATGCGTTGCATACTATGACCTTAGGAGTACTATTAGATTCCTATCCAATTTAGGTGAGCAAGTTTGTTTCCTACCTGCGTTGTGGGTACAGTGGCTTGTGAAAGGGGCAGCAGGTAGCTTAGTGGTTAAGAGCGTAGTGCCAGTAACCGAAAGGTCGCTGGTTCTAATCCCCGAGCCGACTAGGTGAAAAATCTGTCGATGTGCCCTTGAGCAAGGCACTTAACCCTAATTGCTCCTGTAAGTCGCTCTGGATAAGAGCGTCTGCTAAATGACTAAAATGTAAAAAAAATGTAAAATGAAAGTATTCACGCCCCTTGGCATTTTTCCTATTTTGTTGCCTTACAACCTGGAATTAAAATTGATTTTTGGGGGGTTTGTATCATTTGATTTACACAACGTGCCTACCACTTTGAAGATGCAAAATATTTTTTTTTGTGAAATAAGTCAATACTTTGTAGAGCTACCTTTAGCAGCAATTACAGCTGCATGTCTCTTGGGGTATGTTTCTATAAGCTTGGCACATCTAGCCAGTGCGATTTTTGCTGATTCTTCGAGGCAAAACTGCTCCAGCTCCTTCAAGTTGGATGGGTTCCGCTGGTGTACAGCAATCTTTACCACAGATTGTCAATTGGATTGAGGTCTGGGCTTTGACTAGGCAATTCCAAGACATTTAAATGTTTCCCGTTAAACCACTCGAGTGTTGCTTTAGCAGTATGCTTAGGGTCATTGTCCTGCTGGAAGGTGAACCTCCATCACAGTCTCAAATCTCTGGAAGACTGAAACAAGTTTCCCTCAAGAATTTCCCTGTATTTAGCGCCATCCATCATTCCTTCAATTCTGACCAGTTTCCCAGTCCCTGCCGATGAAAAATTGGATGGTGTTCTCGGGGTGATGAGAGGTGTTAGGTTTGCGCCAGACATAATGTTTTTTTAGTCTCATCTAACCAGAGTACCTTCTTCCATATGTTTGGGGAGTCTCCCACTTGCCTTTTGGCGAACACCAAACGTGTTTGCTTATTCTTTTCTTTAAGCAATGTCTTTTTTCTGGCCACTCTTCCGTAAAGCGTAGCTCTGTGCAGTGTACGGCTTAAAGTGGTCCTATGGACAGATACTCCAATCTCCACTGTGGAGCTTTGCAGCTCCTTCAGGGTTATCTTTGTTCTCTTTGTTGCCTCTCTGATTAATGCTCTCCTTGCCTGTGATAACGTGACGTCCTTAGATAAACACAACCTACTTGGAACAAGATCCCACAAACACTGTGGGAAAACTGGCTACTTAAGTATGGTTCTCAATCAGAGACAACAAGCAACAGCTGATACACGTTGCCTCTGATTGAGAACCACACTGGCCAACATAGAAAACAACTGACTAGAACAGAAACACATGAAAACTCACACCCTGGCTCAACATACTAGAGTCCCCAGAGCCAGGGCGTGACAGTACCCCCCCCCCCCCCCAAAGGCGCGGACTCCGACTGCGCCAACCAAACACCACAGGGGAGGGACCGGGTGGGCACTCCGCCTTGGCGGCGGATCCGGCTCCAGGCATGATCCCCACTCCCTCTCTAACCCCCCAAAGTACCCCTGGTCCGGTCTGGCCCTGCATGCCGGAGCTGGACTGAACACTGGTGGAGCGGATTGCTCTAGCTCCGGCGTGGAGCAGCTGACCGGTACCGGACCAGGCACCGGTGGAACAGGCACGGGCTGTGCCGGACTGACGACGCACACCACTGGCTTGGTGTGGGGAGCAGGAACAGGCCGAGCCGGACTGGCGACGTGCACCATAGGCTTGGTGTGGGGAGCAGGAACAGGCCGGGTCGGGCTGGCGACGCGCACCATAGGCTTGGTGCGGGGAGCAGGAACGGGCCGGACCGGGCTGGCGACGCGCACCATAGGCTTGGTGCGGGGAGCAGGAACAGGCCGGGCCGTACTGGCGACACGCACCACAGGCTCGATGCGAGGAACAGGAACAGGCCGGACCGTACTGGCGACACACACCACTGGCCCTACGCAGGGATCAGGAACGGGCCGGACCGGACTGGTAACACACCCCAGTACCTCTCGCCGTGCCTCTACACTCTCCCTCTCCTCTGTGACCAGTGGCCCCCTTAACCTGGCGGCCTCCTCTACAAACCCGCTGGACCGCTCCATCGCGGCCTCCTGCTGCCCCGTCGTCCACGGCGTGAGCCCCCCCCTAAAAAATGTCTGGGTGTCTCTCTTCCCCGTGGACCAAGCCTCCCTATCTCTCGCCAGACTCTTCCTCCACTGCTCCAAAGTCCAACCACTCTGCTCTTCATTTGGCTTGACCCAGTCGAGACTCTTCCTCCACTGCTCCCAAGTCCACCCTCTCTGCTCTTCCCTAGGCTTGACCCAGTCGAAGTTGCCACGGAGATCCGCTAGCAATTCCCCTGGCACTGGCTCCTGGACACGCTGCTTGGTCCAGTTTTGGTGGGATCTTCTGTCACGATCGTCGGGAACAGAGGACCAATGCGCAGCGTTATTTGCAAACATATTTATTAAATAAGATAACACGAACAAAACAACAAAATGATAACGTGACGTCCTTAGATAAACACAACCTACTTGGAACAAGATCCCACAAACACTGTGGAAAAACTGGCTACTTAAGTATGGTTCTCAATCAGAGACAACAAGCAACAGCTGATACACGTTGCCTCTGATTGAGAACCACACTGGCCAACATAGAAAACAACTGACTAGAACAGAAACACATGAAAACTCACACCCTGGCTCAACATACTAGAGTCCCCAGAGCCAGGGCGTGACAGCCTGGTCCATGAGTTTTGGTGGGCCGCCCTCTCTTGACATGTTTGTTGTGGTACCATGTTCTTTCCATTTTTTTATAATGGATTTAATGGTGCTCCGTTGGATGTTCAAAGTTTCAGATATTTTTTTATTACCCTGATTTGTACTTCTCCACAACTTTTGTCCCTGACCTGTTTGGAGAGCTCCTTGGTCTTCATGGTGCCGCTTGCTTGGTGGTGCCCCTTGCTTTGTGGTGTTGCAGACTCTAGGACCTTTCAGAACAGGTGTTTATATATAGTCATATTTGGCAATGTGGCTAATTAGGCAATGTGGTGTGTTAAATCTTATTAAGCTGTGTTCATTCATGACGAACAAATACATTTTTTCTTGACAGATTAATGTGTACCAGTGGCGGTCGGTGTTTTTTATGAGCATGGCCTTATTTCTATTACAGCATATTGGATGACTGTCATTCATATTCCATTCACCTAGCTCAATTTAACATCGATAGGTTTAGGCTACTACATCATAATCACATTTTATACCCATCCTGAGGTTGCTACAACCTAGCCTATGAATTAAAGTTTACAATGTAGGTGCACAGGTCGAGATAAATCTAGTAATCAAGGTGACAGACAGTGACACATTTAATACCGCCTTGCACACTTTTGCCTGCATCTACCCGATCTATTAGTTCAACAGTTGCAAACGAGAGTTTCTATTCAACAAATCCAGGTATGTTTATCCCCGTTTCGTTCCCTTTGCTTCCGTTTAAGAAACTTTTTAAAACAGAATCAGCGGCATGAATACACCCCTCATCGCCGCAAACACAGTTCACTTTCAGAGCAGCCACATACAAACAGCATGATCACTTTGCTCGTTGTATAATTCCTTCCCACATCTATGCGCTCTCTTCATCTCACCTTTTCCATTTGCTTGTGAACTTCAGTGCACAACACATCAGCTGTCTGTGACCAGGCGAAAAAACCTTTCCAAGACAAACCCTTATACCATAACCGCTACACACAGCCTACATTGTTGTCACCATATTAGCTATCGTCATAGTCACATAGTAACTAGAACTAACGCGTTTGTAAACCCGCAACAATCATGCAGCACAGTGTACAGTCAGCAAGCAGTTTAGCAGTTACACCAGTGGGCCCCGGTTGCAATACATTTATAAAACCAAAAGCTTACCTTGACTTGGAATCTTCTCAGCTAGCTAACATAGCATTCCTCTCTATTTGAACCGGGTGTTTGAGTAGGCTAAACTAACTACTGTTAGCTGCATTCACTAACTAAGTAAGTGAAAAAGAAAGTGAAGAAAATACAACAAAATATAGCTAGCTCTCTCTCTCTCCTTATCTTTTGCTTCTCTTTCGTTTTAGATTTTTTTTTACTGTTCAACTTTTGTTTTTCTCTCACTTTGAGTCAACTACTCACCACATTGTATGCACTGCAGTGCTAGCTAGCTGTAGCTTATGCTTTCACTACTAGATTCATTCTCTGATCCTTTGATTGGGTGGGCAACATGTCAGTTCATGCTGCAAGAGCTCTGATAGGTTGGAGGACATCCTCCGGAAGTTGTCATAATCTCTCTCTGTCTGCCCTGTGAGTTCTGATCTACGTAATCAGCTGTTCTTTAGTAGAATGACTGAACATGGACAATGATTTTATAAACTATTTTCTTTGGCTTCCTAATTTTCTTTAACACATTCTTCCTATTTATTTATCTCTCTCATTTTCACCTCTCTCTCTCCATCAGATGGTCAGAGTCTGGAGACCATGCCCTCCAGTCCAGTCCTGAAAAAGCCTAGAGAAATGCTCAGCCTCTCCTGTAAGATATCTGGATTCACCTTTGTCTGCAACACAGTCTGGATAAGACAATAAGCAGAAAAATCCCTGGAATGTGTGGGTTATTCTGGATTAGGCCTAGGTTACCATGCTAAAAGGTTTGAAGGATGTATGGAAACCACTAAAGATACTAGCAACAGCATGTTGACTTTGATGCTGTCTGGTGTGAGAGCAGATGACTCTGCTGTGTATTACTGTGCAGGAGAGATACAGTGGTGTGAGTGAGGGGAGGATCTGTACAAAAACCCCTGAGAGAATCTAACTGGCAGCAGAGTCAACAGAGGGCAGTAGAACATCAGTACAACAGAGTCACATCTACTGAAGTATAATATTCCACTGAGTGCCAAAATAACAGAACTACTTGTACATCAACACTAGGTTCCCTGAGGAGAGATAAAATAAAGAGGAATCACATACAGGCCTACATACTGTAGCTGTGTTCATTCCTGTTAAACAAGGTGACTGTCCTTGATAGATTGGTCCTTAATCTGACATTTACAGTAAATGAACCACAATCGTGAAGGATATCTACAAATATTTAGAAATCATCCTCCAAGGTTCCCTACAGTTTTACCAACCTATGTGATCTGAACAGAAAAAACTTTAGACCCTGGTGTCATGGATCCCCCGGTACTGCTGCTCAGTCCGTTCACTAGCTCCGGAGGTCTACGTCACCGACCTTCTAGGCGTCACCTGACCTGGTTCATTACCACCAACCCAGGACTGTCTTGTCTCATTACGCACACCTGGTTCCCATTCCCCCTGATTAGTATGTGTACAGTGGCTTGCGAAAGTATTCACACCCCTTTGCATTTTTCCTATATTGTTGCCTTACAACCTGGAATTAAAATGGATTTTTTGCTGGTTTGTATCATTTGATTTATTATTGTATTTATTATTGTGAAACAAACAAGAAATAAGACCAAAAAAAACTGAAAACTTGAGCATGCATAACTATTCATAATACGCATTCCTGGGCCTGTCTTCTAATCATTATACAACGTGACACTGGTTATGGCATGGGGACATACAGTGCATTTGGAAAGTATTCAGACCCCTTGATCTTTTCCAAATTTTGTTACATTACGGCCTTATTCTAAATTTGATGAAATACGTTTTTTAACTCATCAATCTACACAAAATACCCCAAAATGACAAAGCAAAAACAGTTTTTTAGAAATGTTTGCAAATGTATAAAAAAAAAAAAACAGAAATACCTTATTTACATAAGTATTCAGACCCTTTGCTATGAGACTCGAAATTGAGCTCAGGTGCATCCTGTTTCCATTGATCATCCTTGAGATGTTTGTACAGCTTGATTGGAGTCCACCTGTGGTAAATTCAATTGATTGGACATGATCTGGAAAGGCACACACCTGTCTATATAAGGACCCACAGTTGACAGTGCATGTCAGAGCAAAAACCAAGCCATGAGGTCGAAGGAATTGTCTGTAGAGCTCTGAGACAGGATTGTGTCGAGGCACAGATCTGGGGAAAAATGTCTGCAGAATTGAAAGTCCCCAAGAACATAGTGGCCTCCATCATTCTTAAATGGAAGAAGTTTAGAACCACCAAGACTCTTCCTAGAGCTGGCTGCCCGGCCAAACTGAGCAATTGAGGGAGAAGGGCCTTAGTCAGGGAGGTGGAGATTGGAGAACCTTCCAGAAGGACAACCATCTCTGATGCACTCCACCAATCAGGCCTTTATGGTAATGGCCAGACGGAAGCCACTCTTCAGTAAAAGGCACGACAGCCCGCTTGGAGTTTGCCAAAAGGCACCTAAAGGACTCTCAGACCATGAGAAACAAGATTCTCTGGTCTGATGAAACCAAGAATGAACTCTTTGGCCTGAATGCCAAGCGTCACGTCAGGAGGAAACCTGGCACCAACCCTACGGTGAAGCATGGTGTTGGCAGCATCATGCTGTGGGGATGTTTTTCAGCGGCAGGGACTGGGAGACTAGTCAGGATCGAGGGAAAGATGAACGGAGCAAAGTACAGAGAAATCCTTGATGAAAACCTGCTCCAGAGCACTCAGGACCTCAGACTGGGGCGAAGGTTCACCTTCCAACAGGACAACGACTCTAAGCACACAGCCAAGACGACTCAGGAGTGGCTTCGGGATAACTTTCTGAATGTCCGTGAGTGGCCCAGCCAGAGCCCGGACTTGGGTGCCCTAAACAGTCTCATCCCTGATTGGACTAAAGCTCTTAAACCTATAACAAAGTGCCTAGGTATATTGTATATACACAGCTCACCATTAAAACCATCTTGTTTCTGAGTGCTTTGTTATGTCATGATCCAATTCATGTCAGCCATATTACCTGACAATAGCAGACCAGGACCATGAGCCCTAGGAAGAGGCAGTTGCAGAACATGGAGTTGAACACAGAGCATCAGAAGTAGTCTTTAATCTGGACTCCCATGTGTCTTAGAGTTCGCTGCTGTTGTGGCTGTCGGGGTCGTCTGGGCTGGCCTGAGCGTCCACGATCTCCCTTCTCTTCCTCTTCCTCCTCTTCTCCCTCCTCTTGAACATCACCAAACTGATCCATCTCTATGTCAGCTTCACCAAAATCTATCTGCACTTCAAGCATCTCAAAATCAAATTATTTCTCCATGATTGTCAAAATGGCATTAATGTTGAGCTGAACTAACGGTAAGTAGAGACTGTATAGCCCTCCAACCATAGCACCATCCTCTCTCATTTAACACTATCTCTTGCTGCTTGGAAAGCTGTACAGCTTATGCATATTTTCCAGATCCTAGGTTGATGTCTCAATATTAACACCTGTTTACTCTGTCAATGAAAGATGGACATTATGCAAATAATCCCCTCTGCTATAAACTGTATTTATCAATGACCAGCTCTGAGGGGCAGCCACACACAGACACACACAGACACAACCTTCATCACTGCAACCACCCTGTCTGTTAGTAACCAGACATACACTGTCTGCCATTCAACAGAGAAACATGTTTCTTATGTCTCTCCTCCTCCTGGCCTTCCTGGCATGTAAGTGGGGTCATTTTCATCTCTTCAAATGCAGTGTACAAAACAAGATTGGAGAGAATATCTATTAAATATGGTTGTTTCACCGTGTGTTTGTACAGTTCATTTTGAAAATAAAGACAAAGATAGTTGGAAAAAGTTATTTCTTCCCTTTCGTCAGGTTAAGTTTCCTGTCTCTCTCTTCTCCCTGCTCTTATTCAGATATACACAGTATTAGTTTGACCTCCTCCCCTGCTCAACTCAAAGTTCCTGGACAGTAAGTGAAACTATCTTGCCAAGTCTCTGGCTATGCCCTGACAGACTATGGTACAGGTTGGATACAACAGCAGCCAGGGAAAACACTGGAGTGGATTGGGATCATCTGGGCCAGTGGATCCATCAACTCTGGAGCCTCTTTTAAGAGCAGATTCACTATCTCCAGAGACAGTAGTAATGTACTGTACTTAGACATCACCAGTCTGCAGGCTGAGGACACAGTTGTTTATTATTGTGCTCGCTACAAACAGTTATACAAAACAGCACCAGAGCTGTACAAAAACTCACCCACCCCATAAACGGTTTGAGTTATACAGTTGAAGTCGGAAGTTTACATACACTTGGTACTTGGTTGGAGTCATTAAAAATCTATTTTTTTAACCACTCAACAAATGTCTTGTTAACAAACTATAGTTTTGGCAAGTCGGTTAGGACATCTACTTTGTGCATGACACAAGTAATTTTTTCCAACAATTGTTTACAGACAGATTATTTCACTTATAATTCACTGTATCACAATTCCAGTGGGTCAGAAGTTTACATACACTAAGTTGACTGTGCCTTTAAACAGCTTGGAAAATTCCAGAAAATTATGTCATGGCTTTAGAAGTTTCTGGTAGGCTAATTTACATCATTTGAGTCAATTGGAGGTGTACCTGTGGATGTATTTCAAGGCCTACCTTCAAACTCAGTGCCTCTTTGCTTGACATCATGGGAAAATCTGTAAAAACAATAGTACACAAGTATAAAGACCATGGGACCACGCAGCAATCATACCGCTCAGGAAGGAGACACATTCTGTCTCCTAGAGATGAACGTACTTTGGTGAGAAAAGTGAAAATCAATCCCAGAACAACAGCAAAGGACCTTGTGAAGATGCTGGAGGAAACCGGTACAAAAGTATCTATATCCACAGTAAAACAAATCCTATATCGACATAACCTGAAAGGCCGCTCAGCAAGGAAGAAGCCACTGCTCCAAAACCGCCATAAAAAAGCCAGACTACGGTTTGCAACTGCACATTCGAACAAAGATCGTACTTTTTGGAGAAATATCCTCTGGTCTGATTAAACAAAAATAGAACTGTTCAGCCATAATGACCATCGTTATGTTTGGAGGAAAAAGGGGAAGGCGTGCAAGCAGAAGAACACCATCCCAACCATGAAGCACGGGGGTGGCAGCATCATGCTGTGGGGGTGCTTTGCTGCAGGAGGGACTGGTGCACTTCACAAAATAGATGGCATCATGAGGAAGGAAAATTATGTGGATATATTGAAGCAACATCTCAAGACATCAGTCAGGAAGTTAAAGCTTGGTCGCAAATGGGTCTTCCAAATGGACAATGACCCCAAGCATACTTCCAAAGTTGTGGCAAAATGGCTTAAGGACAACAATGTCAAGGTATTGGAGTAGCCATCACAAAGCCCTGACCTCAATCCTGTAGAACATTTTTGGGCAGAATTGAAAAAGCATGTGCAAGCAAGGAGGCCTACAAACCTGACTCGGTTACACCAGCTCTGTCAGGAGGAATGGGCCAAAATTCACCCAGCTTATTGTGTGAAGCTTGTGGAATAGAACATTGATTCAATCTGTTTTTGCCCAGTGGGATGCCCTTTATCATACAATGATCACTTGATAACAGCTTGTACCAATATTACTCTACTGTCATGAGGAATAATTAGTACTGTCACGGTTTCGGCCGAGGCTGCTCCTCCTCCTTGCTCGTGCAGGCTTCGGCGGTCGTCGTCCCCGGAGTACTAGCTGCCACCGTTGTATGTTATCGATGTTTGTTTGGTTTTGTCTTCCTTGTTCACCTGTTTCCTGTTAGTGTTAATTATGTTCCCTATATGTGTCTCGTTTTGTTTGTAGTGAGTTGTGTGTAATTGTTCCGCCTGTCCGTAGGTGCTGGTATTTTGCTCTATTGTGTTTTAGAGTCCAGACGCACTTTTGCGTATTGCTTATGCATTGGAGTGTTTTTGCGCACTGTTGCGTAATCGCTCGCCTCCTTGTTTTGTTGAGGCCCTTTTCTTTGTATTTCATGTCCTCCAGTAAAGTCTGTTGGAAGTAGCTTCTGTGTCCTGCACCTGACTCCTACACCACATCCACATCAGCCTCTGACAGAATTACACACCCATCATGGAGTCAGCAGGAGCAGCAGCAGCACCCGAGTCGCTGGAGGAGCGCGTCAGCGGGCAAGACGACCGGATCATTCAACTCGGGTCCGCCCTGCAGGACGTGATCAACACTCTGCACCGATGGGAGACCAGAGGAGTGCCCACACTTCCTCCGACCTTACCACCACCATCGGTCAGTCCTCCCATCCAAGCTCCAGAATCCAGTGGGATTCGGCTCTCGCTCCCGAGGGCGTATGATGGCGCCACAGCCGGGTGTCAGGGGTTCCTCCTGCAGGTGGAACTCTACCTGGCCACCATACACCCGGCGCCCTCGGGATACGAGAGCGTTTCCGCCCTCATCTCCTGTCTCTCCGGCAAGGCGTTGGAGTGGGCCAACGCTGAATGGAGGGGAATAGATGCCGCCACCATCACCTACGCGGAGTTCTCCCCTCCATTCAGCGTTAGCCCACTCCCATCCTGCCGGAGTCTTGTCTGGTGGCACCGGTAGTGTGGGAGGTCGATGCGGAGATCGAGCAGGCGTTGCGTACCGACCCTAGTCCCCCAAAGTGTCCTGTGGGTCGGACGTACGTTCCGCTCGAGGTTCGGGATCGTCTGATTTATTGGGCTCATACGTCCCCCTCCTCTGGACATCCAGGTATTGGCCGGACAGTGCACTGCCTTAGCGCTAAGTACTGGTGGCCAACGTTAGCCAGGGATGTGAGGGTTTATGTCTCCTCCTGCTCGTTGTGCGCCCAGTGTAAGGCGCCTAGACACCTGCCCAGGGGAAAGTTACAACCTCTGCCCGTTCCACAACGACCCTGGTCTCACCTCTCGGTGGATTTCGTTACAGACCTTCCCCCCTCTCAGGGGAATACCACTATACTGGTCGTTGTGGATCGGTTCTCGAAGGCCTGTCATCTCCTCCCAATGCCGGGTCTCCCTACTGCCCTACAGACCGCTGAGGCACTGTTCACCCACGTTTTTCGGCACTACGGGGTGCCCGAGGATATAGTGTCTGATCGAGGTCCCCAGTTCACCTCCAGAGTCTGGAGGGCGTTCATGGAGCGCTTGGGGGTCTCGGTGAGCCTTACCTCTGGGTACCACCCGGAGAGCAATGGGCAGGTAGAAAGAGTTAACCAGGATGTGGGTAGGTTTCTGAGATCGTATTGCCAGGGCCGGCCGGAGGAGTGGGCGAGGTATATCCCCTGGGCAGAGATGGCACAGAACTCTCTCCGCCACTCCTCCACCAACCTAACCCCTTTCCAATGTGTGTTAGGGTATCAGCCGGTTCTGGCACCATGGCATCAGAGCCAGATCGAGGCTCCTGCGGTGGATGAGTGGGTGCGGCGCTCGGAGGAGACGTGGAACGCTGCACACGTCCATCTGCAGCGGGCCATCCGTCGACAAAAGGCGAGCGCCGATCTCCACCGCAGTGAGGGTCCGGTGTACGCACCTGGAGATCGAGTCTGGCTCTCGACTCGAAACCTGCCCCTCCGCCTGCCCTGCCGGAAGCTGGGTCGGCGGTTTGTAGGGCCATTTAAAGTCCTGAGGAGGTTGAACGAGGTGTGTTACAGTTTACAACTGCCTATTGATTATCACATTAACCCCTCGTTCCATGTGTCTCTTCTCAGGCCGGTGGTAGCTGGTCCACTCCAGGACTGTGAGATAAGTGAGACTCCTCCGCCCCCATTGGACATCGAGGGGGCTCCGGCGTACACAGTTCGGTCCATCTTGGATTCGAGACGTCGGATGGGGGGTCTCCAGTATCTCGTGGAGTGGGAGGGGTACGGCCCGGAGGAACGGTGCTGGGTGCCGAGGACGGACATCTTAGACCCATCTCTCCTGACTGAGTTCCACCCTGGTCATCCCACGCGCCCTGCTCCACGTCCTCCTGGTCGTCCCCGAGGCCGGGGTCGGCGCACGGCTGGGACCGCGCGTCAAGGGGGTGGTACTGTCACGGTTTCGGCCGAGGCTGCTCCTCCTCCTTGCTCGGGCAGGCTTCGGCGGTCGTCGTCCCCGGAGTACTAGCTGCCACCGTTGTATGTTATCGATGTTTGTTTGGTTTTGTCTTCCTTGTTCACCTGTTTCTTGTTAGTGCTAATTATTTTCCCTATATGTGTCTCGTTTTGTTTGTAGTGAGTTGTGAGTCCAGACGCACTTTTGCGTATTGCTTATGCATTGAAGTGTTTTTGCGCACTGTTGCGTAATCGCTCGC